AGGAAGGAAGGAAGGAAGGAAGGAAGGAAGGAAGGAAGGAAGGAAGGAAGGAAAAGAAAGAGGAAGGAAGGTTTATGATGTGTGCTAGCTTGTGGTTACTCAGGAGCAAATCCAAGCACAGAGGCAGCGAAATTGAGGATTGGGATCCCGCAGACTAGCTTCGCCCCAACTCCTTTCAGCGGGAGCAACGGGCAGCTTGGTGGGTGATCTCTTCGCATGACCTGCCTTTGGGGCAGTACAGTAAAAAGCCAAAATTCTAGCCCCCGTGTGTTAGCGAAGTAATTAAAGTGGGGTCTTTGAGAGCCATTTGGACCTCTTTTTCCCAGCATGCAGGACTGCAGGGCTAACTTTTCGCAGAGAAGAGTCCCGTTCTAAGTGTTGAGAACAAATTTCCAAGCTGAAACATGATTAAATAGTTCCAGCAGCTACAGGGCAGGAATAACAAAATGCAAGGTGATGGTCACAGCAGCTTGATTGAAACCCTGTCCGTTTGTATGTATTCACATGTATAAAGGGGCGCGGTTTCAGTAGTATGGCCACAACCACCATCTTGCCTTTTTTGACCCCTTCCCCCCCCTTTGTGGATGCCAGGGGACAGGAATTTCTCAACTTTATTCCCAATAGAAAGAGCAGGAAGTGATCTGGTCACAAAGCAGAGGTCAAGAGACAGAGGCAGTGGACACAGAGCACGTTCAGAGAGTTGGGGAGCAAGATTTGGCCGAGCACTCAGAGGTGTCTGCAGGGAGGATCAAAAGAGTCAAGATGATGGCTGCAACCATGGAGTCGAAGCCCAGCCTCTTTTTTATGTCCACCGCATGTAAAATGTTACAGGGTTTAGATTGTGCTGTTGTGGCTGCCATCCTGACTTTTTTGACCCCCCTTCCCATGGGTGCTCCTGTAAAGGAACTCAGTTGTTGGGGTTCAAGCCTCAGGAAGGTTAAGAGGCCAGGTTGATGCTACTATCATTCCAGCTTCCTAGTCCCCACCGAAGCTCATACTGGTTATCTTGAAGCACAGTGCAGGACAGTGTGGGGCACCCAGGGAGAGGGTTCTTCTCCCAGTGCAGACCCTTCCTTGAAATCTGCTGTTCCCCCATCTCTTTGCCCTTTGAAACTCTCAGAGGAACATCATTTCATCAGGATTGTGGTTCAGAATCAGCAGGGCAAGGATGATGGGGCTTGGTTTGGCCACGAGTTCTGGCCTTGTCCCTGCCTCTTTAGGACTAGACCCAGCAAGCTTTAACCCTCTTCCCACAACTCTCTTAACCCAGTGAGCGACTATCCCAGTCAGATCTCTTGTCGATGGTTCTGGCAACAATAGTATTAACTGGCCCAGAAGACTCTATTTTGGGAATGCAAAGTCTCCGCCCACTTTCTCCAAGAAATGCCTGTTATCCCCTGAGCCGGGCACCAGCAGAGTACTGGCATGGCTTCATGACACCATGGCTTGGCTGCTGTAGCCCATCAGCTGTTCAGAGGTATGCTTTGTGGTGCCAGACTTTGCCAGTGAGCTTTCAAATGGCATTCTTTATTAGATACTTTCTCTCCAATTCTTTTCCTTCTAAAACTGGTAAGAAAAAGGGATCCGTTGATGAGGAGTACCTATTTTGATAGCACAGCTACTTGGATGGAGCAAATTAGATCTCACCCCCTTGGGATGGTTGACCAAGTCTATTGACCCCTCCTCTTCGGTGTTCTTCCTATTGAGCCAGTTAAGTGTGTTGTGCCAACTAAAGTACTCTGACTCGTCCTCCTCACTTGCAAATTTGTCCCAGAATATCATGGCAGAGACAGAGGCTAAGTTTTAACTTTTTCCACCTACTGGGGCCACATTTTCCAAATCTGGTTGCCTGGATCCTATTTAGACTCACCAAAGGCAAACGTTTAAGTGGCTGTTTTCAATTTAATTCACCCGAGTGGGAAGGAAGGAATGAGTTCAAGAGTGCTAATTTCATTTTGTAATTTAATAGATTCAAGATCAGAAAGCGGCCTCGTTCTCCGTCTTTGACCTGGTCTCCAGTTTTTGCAACGATATCGTCAGCTCTGCTCAGAGTTTTATTTCTTCCACGTGGACCTTCTATCTGCAGGCAGATGATGGAAAAGTAGTAGTGTTTCAGGTAAGTAATGGCAAAAGTGGGGTGGGGGAGATTTAGAGAAGAAATAGTAAATGAGAAACTTAACTCTGAAAGAAATTAATGGGAGGGGGCTCTTTCTAAATAATTAGAATTCTGTTCTGAATTTGCATAACACTATATTTAGTTACTGATTTAAGCCACATTATGAGTTAGCACAGAACATTGAGCCATAAGCTAACTAACTAAATGGTCTTGATTTCTGCAACATGTTAAGCCAGGAAAAAAAAAACCTAACTCAAGATTAACAAGCTGAGTTTGTTGTACAAATGCAGGCATTCACACAACATTATTTTATCTGGTTAAGCGTGTTGTGTGAACCTAGCCTATTCGGATCTCTGCCAAGAGTGATTTCACCCTTCCTTAGCAGAAGTTGCATTAGTCTATCTTTATTTTCACCCTGAGCAGAATCTATTTTGGGTAAGGAATTGAATTCCTCCACCCACCCTCCAACCCACTTTTTGAATAAATAAACTATAATTGAAACTTTAATTCACAGCAGTTACAACTCATCAAATAGAAGCATATTTATGTAAAAATGCAAGCCATACGACTAGGTGGGAGCATATTTTGAAAGCTTAATTTATATTTTACATATTCTCCCCACAAGCTCAAGATGGGATATGCAATACTTGCCCTTCCAGTTTCTCCCACAACAACATCCCTGTGAAGTAGGTTGGGCTGAAGGTTAGTGGCCTCAAGTCACCCAGACGGCTTCTATGGCTGTGGGTGGACTTAGTCTTAGTACAACACCTTAACCATTCCATCACTCTGGCTCTCTATAGCACTTTTGGGGGAAATGTTAAGGAATAAGTTTACCTCTGCTTCTTCAGGGATTTTTTTCCCAACTTTCCAGTCTAGCCTACAACCCTAGAATTTCCTAGTGGTCTCTCATCCATTACAAACCAGGTCCAACCCTGCGTAGTTCTCAAGATCATCCAACATTGGTTCGGTGCTGCCACCTGCTGTGACCAAAGCAGATTAAAATCAAAATAATTAATTAATTTAAAAGTTGTCTTTGAGCCAAGCTCCAATCCTGGTGACTCTTAGACCTTCCTTTTATGGCCCAAAGAGTGAGTGCAGCAAAAAATGCAGCCCCCTTTCCCCCCTTGGTGTTGTGGGATTTCAAGAGGCAGAAGGAGCACCTTTAGACGGCAGATCTAACTTCATTGCCTGGTGGACTCTTACTTTGCCCACTCTTTGAGTGCAACCTGCAGGACACCACCCTAAGCCTAAGGCATCCTTTCAGCCAAATAAAGTTGCCCATCTCAGGTTTAAGCCTCCACAAGACATGTTCCTTGAAGCTGCAGGAACATGGCATATGTGAAATATTTGCATGGATTCCCTTGTCAGAAGGTCAGCTCTCGTTAAACAGGATGGAGCAGATTTGGAAGATCTTCAGAACCTTCCTGAATGCTCAACAGCCTCTTTACGTTTTTTGGACAGTCACAACCAGAGGTGGAGTATCCAGTTCCAGAGGTCCAGGCACCCAAGTCAGAGGTTTTGGAGAAAGCCTGGACAGTCTCTGCCTCCAACACCTTGAAGCCACACACAGGTAATGCAAGGATTCAGGATGGGTCTGAGGCTACCTGCAGCATCAGATGAAAAGTGCAAGATGAGGGATTTCGGCTAAAAATTTGGAAAAGCTTTCTCATGCAGCTCTTTTGCTGGCAGTTGAACTAGCTGCCTCTGCAGGCAATGGGCTTTCCTTTTTAAAAATATAGAGAATAGGAGGACGAATTTGTATTTAGTTAGCACAGTATAGGCAAGAGAAGCTATAGAAACCACCAGCAGGGGATGTTATAGCAATGGATTTGGAGCATTCATCAGAAATCTGGACTCAGCTGCCTTTGAGGTCCCCTCCAGTTCTCGGATTTGATAAAATCTGTGATGTGGTCAAGTCTGGAATGTTATGAATGCTCATGGTTGCCCCAAACTTTACCCTAAGTATTCCTCATTATACAACCTGCCAGTACAGCCTCATTGATTCAAGACCATCTGCCCAGATACCTAGCCTTAAAAGAAACTTTTCCCAACTGGAAGAAAGAAAGGGAGGAGAAATGAAAGGAGGAAAAATCACCATTAAGAATGAAAGGGGAAGGAAGGCAGGGAGGGAGGGAGGGAGGAGATGGGAAGAAGGAAGGAAGGAAGGAAGGAAGGAAGGAAGGAAGGAAGGAAGGAAGGAAGG